ATAAAATGTGCAGCACTGCAAAGGAAATAAATTATATTGAAATATAGTTATTAAAAAATTAAAAATATGTTTGTAACTTAGTAAGTTATGTGTGTCTTTTTTTTTTTCTTTTATCCTCACCCGAGGACATTTTTCCATTTTTTGTTCAGGTAGAGTGGGAGGGAGAGAGAGGAACAGAGAGAGATAGAGAAACATCGATGTGAAAGGAACACATTGAGTGGCTGCCACCCGCACAACCGACCAGGGGCGGGGACAAACTGCAACCGAGGTACATGCCCTTAGCGGGAACCGAACCCGGGTCTCTCAGGACCGCAGGCCGACGCTCTAACCGCTGAGCCAAACCGGCCAGGGCTGTGTCTTTTTTTTTTGTGGTACGTGCCCCTAGCAGGAACCGAACCCGGGTCTCTCTGGTTCACAGGCCAACGCTCAACTGCTGAGCCAAACTGGCCAGGGCTAGTTACACATATCTTTATACTGTATTAAATAACAAGGTCTAGTGGACTGTTATACTTCCATAGTATGAACATAAATGCTATCGCACGATATCTGCCACGACTGCACGGTGATTTGAGAATATCGCAGAGGCACTGTGGTTTGTTGCCTTCATTCCTAACGGGAGAAAATGGTAACTTTTAGTTAGAGGTTAGTGAATAGCAGATGTGATGTATTCCCCAGGCAAATTCATGGAGTCCTGAGTTCTGCCCATGGGCCCTGTGAAGGGATTGCTGAGTGAAGGGGAGCCAGGTGAATGAAATGCTGAGTCTAAGAGGACACACCGTCCTCGCTGGCCCACTTCCTCAGAACCTGATTACAATGAAAATCTTCCATAATCTGTTAATGGAGTCACAGAATCACAGGCTTCCAGAGCTGGAAGGGCCAGGCCCCTTATGCAGATGCCCCTGTCGCATGACCTGGTTCTTTGCTTCTGCCTGCATACCTCTAGGGATGGGGAGCTCACTCTCGTTCTAGGACTGGGCAGCTTCAACTTCTCTGAGCTATGACGACATAGAGATGAGTCAGACCTAGTCTCTGTTCCCACAGCTAGAGGACAGAGAAAAAGAAGGACTCAACTAGAGCAGAAATGCTTTATTCATTCAACAATCATCCTCTGAGCTTCTGCTAGCTGTCAGGCCAGCGTTGGGCACTGGATATACTGAGACTGAACTTTCATTAAGTTTTTTCTGGGTGTGGGCTCAGCCATGGTGCTCTGTACCTGGTGACAGGATATGATGCCTTCCCTCTGGGGAGACAGACATTAAGTGAGTAAACACATAAATCAGTATGTAAGTGCAATTTGTGCTAATGGCTGCAAAGAAAGAGCAGGGAGAACTCACGGAAGAAGTAATTTCAGATAGGGGGTAGGGGAGATCAAAGAAAGCCCCTCGGAGAAAGTTAACGTTTAAGGCAAAACTTGGAGGAGCTGTTAGCATCTGCCAGGCAAGTGGACATGGAAGACCGGTGCAGGCAGAGGGAAGAGCAGGTGTGGAGTGGCCTGAGGCAGGGACAGCTGGGCTGCTGTTAGGACTGACAGGAGGCCCCGGGGCCAGATGAGCTGGAGAGGAGGGTGGCAGGTTGAGACTCCCATGCTAAGGGGTTTGCATGTGATCTTAAGAGCGACTGGAAGCCACTGAGGAGTTTAAGCGGGATCTGTTTGAATGAATAAAACAAAGTCACCAGGTGCTCTTAGGCTTGCAGCAAAAACATCAATGATACAAAATATTACAAGAATGAGTGAAAAAAAGCTTTTATTTCTGTACTCTGAACACCCTTCTTGAATGTATCTCCTCGCTTTCCCTCAGGCTGAGCTGTCTGCCTGGATGCCCTCCCAGAGCTGTCTTTCCACTTAGTCCAACAATTCAGCCAACTTGTTTCCCAGCACCTCCTCCAGGATGCCTTCCAGAACAATTCAGCCCTCAGTGATTCCCGACGGCTCAGCCCTGGGCATACCCTGTGCACTGTCCAGCATCGCTGACCTTTTCTTGTTAGTGTCCACTCTCCCTTCCTCCACACCACTCCTGAAAGGGGGTGGAAGTGAGGGGCTGGAGGGAGGGGAAGTTGCAAATCTTCAGCGGTGAGTACCCCCCCACCCCACCCCCACCCAGTCCGGGATTGGAGCTGGACTCTGCCACCTGCTGGCAATAACTGCAATGGCAGGCAGCATGAGGGGGAGCAAGGTACTCGAGGAACAGTCTAGGCCCACTTGGGCTTTTCTGAAGGGTAAGCACGCAAGGTTTAGCTGGTTGGAGGGCCAGTCTAAGGGAGCCTGGTGCCTGGGAGTGGCGGAGCTGGGCTGGGAACAGGAGGAAGGAACTGAGCATTGGTGGAATAGCAGCTCAGAGGTGAGGACAGAGGGTCCGGCCCCATGGGGCTGCTGAGGCCAAGTCCAGATCTTGTCTCCAAGCCAGGCCAGGAGGGGGCCCAAGTTGTTGCCATGGGGGCCAGGGCTGTGACCATACAGCTGAGGAGATGATCCCCTCAGTGGGATGAGGACACCCAGAGAGCAGGGACCAGCCTCAAACCAGTGTCCATCCACATCCCCTTTCCGGAACAACTTGTTTTGCTCAAAAGCTTGGGACTTTGACCTGGGAGGTATGTTTTTCTCCTGTGGGTCACCTGATGTCCTTCCTGCTTATCCTGCTCCCCCACCATCCCCAAAGCATAGCCCAGGGAACCCTAGTCCTGCCCCCAGGTTTTTTAAGGAAGTGGGGGGTGATGCTCTGGTGAGGGGTGGGGGAGGCTGGGCCGCTCTTGTGAGTCATGGGCTGGCCCGGGCTCACAGCAGTGACTTCCTGCCCATGTCTTCTAGGATGTCTCCTTTCTGGGTTTCTGGGACACCCCCTCCTCTTGGGCTTCTTCATCCTGCTCCATCCTGACTCCTCTTTGGTGAAAGACCCTCATGTGTTGGGGCTGTGTCCTAGGCCCTCACTGCTTCCCTCCCTTCTCCTCCTCTCTCTCTCTCTCTCTCTCTCTCTCTCTCTCTCACACACACACACACACACACAGCCTGGGAGACCACCCACTCCTATGCCTCAGTGCAGTGCCGATGCTGCGTCACAGATGGCTCCTAGACCTAACTCTCTGCTCCCGGGATCCCGCTGCCTTCTGGATGCTTCCCTCTGCAGGGCCAACAGGCACCACAAACACAATACTTCTAAGCCTATAGCTCATCACTCCTCTCCACATCCGGAACCTTGCTCTGCCTTGTCCTGGGCACTGCCACGCACCAGCTACCCAAGCCAGAGCCGGAGAGTCACCCTCAGCTCCTCCCTGTTTCTCCCGCTCCCAGCTAGTCACCATGTCCCAGCAGCCACGTCCCAGCTACTGTGCCTCCTAAAAAGGGCTCAAGTCTGTTCCCGCTGCCACTGCCCTGGAGCAGGCCCCAGCCCTGGTGGTGCGGCTGTTGCGGCAGCCTCCCCACGGTCTCCCGTTGTCCAGTCCTTGCAGTCCCCTTCATTCCCCACTGTCTCTCCAGGGGCGTTTTCTCCCATGCAAACCTCACCGCATGGCCCCCTGCTTAAAACCCCTGAAGAAGGCACTGTGGGTGTTTGTTAAATTCAACTCCATTCCTTGCATTCCAGCCAGTGATTCTGTGGCTGTTCATTAACATGCATGGTGCCTACTCTAGACCAACTTTGTGCCAGAAGATTCTGAGGACACCAAGCTGGGATAGGGAGGCAGAACAGGACATACAAGTAGGGGAGGGGCCATTCAACTCCAAGCCAAGTTCCCCTGGGTCACCTTGAGACACCCCATCTTTGGATGGCAATGGGCCCGTGGCACTGCCGTGTGCACACCCGCTCCCACACATGGGAAGCAGGGACGAGGCATCGTATCTGAGTGTTGCCCCCAGAAGACCTGGCCTGCAGTAGAAAGAGCTGCCCGGGAGGGCCTGTGAGCAGCAGGTTGGTGGCTTCTGGCCAAGGAAGCTGCGGAGGGGCTTCTCGCTCATGTGCTGACTTCTGGGGACCCTCCATCTCTGAGACTTTGCCCGAGCCTGCTGACTTCTTTCTTGGTGTCTGTGGAGCTGGACTCTCAGCATCTCTGGCTTCCCGCACTCCTGGGGAGAGGTAGGGCAAGGAGACCCAGCAGAACCTTGGCCGCAGGCCTGGACAGGTACTTGGGGCATTCTCAGTTCCTGAGCTGGGGGGCCCAATGGACTCCATGTGGCCTTGAGGGTTGAGGGCCCAGGGGTTCAGAGCCCCGGATTGGACCTGGACACTGAGGGTGTCCTTCCTTTCCCTCCATAGCAGGGTTGTGTTCCCCACTTGGCTCCCTGTGATGGGTGGAGGTGTGTATAGAGACTTCCCACCAAGCTTAGATCTTGTCCCAGGGAGGCTCCACCCAGATTCCGGGAACCACATCTGGGGCCAAGAGGAAGAGCTGAACTGAGCCAGGTCAGCTGGGCTGGGTAGGGAAGGCTGGGGACTGGGAACCTTCAGCCCTCTGTCCTGACCACCATGGGAGAGGGTGGATTTAGAGCTACTGCGCGGGGCCTGGGGCAGAGGGACAGCAGCCAGGGCTGTGTCCCAGGACTGGGTCTTGGCTGAGTAGGAACAGGTGAGAGGAGAGCAGGAAACAGGCCAGGCTCTGTGGGAGAGTGCAGCTTTGACCTTCCCCTAGCCTCTGGGGTTTACCCTCCTCCCCCCAGCCAGCCAGCACATTTCTTAATCCTCCTGTCTGCCTTCCAAGAGGCCCCACCCAATGGGCTCATTCAAGGCAGAAGAATAATGTATCACTCTCTTCCCAGAGCCCAGCCCCACTGCTAAGAAGGGGGAGCTGATGTAAAAACTCTGGGGAGGCCTTGGGCTTGGAGGTGAGGCCCCCACTCTCCCCACCTCCCCGGGTCCGCAGACCCACTTTCTTAGCCAGCCTCTGAAAGGTGACCTCGAATGCCAGCTCCAGTGGGCTGGGCACCGGCCAGGGAGGCCAGACCTGGCAGCTCATTACCATGGGAGGGAGGGCGGTTTCCCTCCTTCCTCCCTCGCCTTCTTCCTCAATAGCTCCTGTCCTGCAGGGCCAGACTGAGCTGGGGCCGGTCTCAGCACACACCCACAGCCCCACAGCCCAGATACCAGCAACCGGAGGGAAGGCCAGGAGCTGCCCGCAGCCATGTCAGCCCTCAGCCTGGTCATTCTGGGCCTGCTCATGGCCGTGCCACCCACCAGCTGCCAGCAAGGTGAGCATAGGACTGGCCCGCAAGGTGGTTGTGGCGCGAAGGGCTGGGTGCAGGCTGGGTGCTGGCAACCCAGGTGTGGATGGGGGTGTCCTCTGGCCTCCATCACTACCTTCGACACTTGTAGCTTGGAGAGGGGAGCAGAGACTGGAGTTGTGGAGGAACCTCCAAAGGCTGAGACCTCGGAGCCAGACCTCTGCCTGTGACTAGTTTCCACGAGTGAGAAGTACAGGCAGCAGGTGACATGTTGGGTGTGGGGTTGGGAGAGAGGCTGAGACCCAAGCTCTAGGAGCAGGAATTTCCCTAGAGTTAGCTGGGTCCCGAGAACAGGGGTCCAGTCTACAATAAGGGTGAGGGTGGGCACCGAGCCACTTGTGCCAGGGGAGGGACAGAGCTCTCACTGGTTTGCTGTGGCTTTGGTCTAAGTCCTCGCTGTTTCAGTTTCCTGGGCTTTGGTAAGGGACAGTGCCCCAGTGTGGCTCCCATCGTGCACCTGAGCTCTTTGTCCAGCTTTGCCTCGGTCTTGTTGTGCGGCCTTGAGGGAATCACTGCCCCTCTCTGAGACTCAGCTTTTCCATCCATAAAATGAGGACAATAAACCCGCTCTGCCTACCTCCCAGGGTGGCTGACGTGTCAGGGGTGTAGAAGGGCTTGGCACTGGTGAAGTACCACACCCCAAGATTTCGTGTCTGCCCTGCACTGTGAGGCCACATCTGCAGCCAAGGTCTGGGTACTCCGCAGGTGGGATTGGGGTCCAGAGGGGGCCAACAAAGGTGCTTCTGGAGCACCCTCCTTGGCAGGTGTCCTGAGCTCTCATACATGTCTGCTTCAACTCTCCCTCTTGCAAACTGAAGATCAGAGGGGTTGAGTAATCGCAAGGGTCACACAGCAGAGGAATAGGGCCAGGGCTCAGATCACTAGTCTCCTGCCCCAGGCTCTGCCCTCTGCTCTGTGTCTCCCCCCGGAGCCATGTGTCTGGAGGGAGTTGGCTGCAGAGGGGCCTCCCAGGCTTGAACCTTAACCCCCAATCCTTGAACAACCACTAACCTGAGGAAACAGTGTGTCTAAACCATTGTTTCTTAGGGAAACGATGAGTCCAAAACATGACTTTTTGGCAAGTATGGAACTCAGGATAACCACTGTGAATCTTCTGTTTCCCAAAGAGAGAAGAAAGTCTGACCTGGGCACGGGCTAGAGTTGCAGGACGCCTCCCTCCTTCCCGACACCTGCCGGGCTAGAGCTCCGAGCAGAGGAAGGGCCTCCCTGCTGCAGGGCGCGTCAGGGGAGGCTCAGGAAGGACTTTGAGTGAGATTTCTATGCCCAGCCCGGCCCCTCAAAATACAGGAGGGCACCAGAGGCAGGTGTTTCGGCCTCTGTCCCCTCCTGAGAACTTTCTACCTGCTGCGCCCTCTGCAGGGCCCAGCTCGCGCCGGCTCCTGGAGCATAGTGGTGCCCAGGGAGATAAGAGCCCTTTATGCCCGCCTGTGGCTGACAGCAGAGACTTCTGAGAACCATTAAGGGTCCAAAGGCAGAAACAGTGCATGGATGGGGCCTTGAGCTGGTCTCTGGCCGAGCCCCCTGGGCACCTAGCTGGAGGAGCTGAAAGGGCCAGGTGTTGAAGCTTCCTTCCTGACCCCCCAGACCCAGAGGAGAGCACCTGTCTGGCCTTCCAAAGACGTCCTGTCCCACCCCTCTTCCTGGGCACCCCAGCACCTGTAACTGAGTAGCCCGGCCTGTCTCTCATTCCCACGCCCTACCCAGCACTAGAGATCCCTCTTGTTACAGAACAGGATCCTCCAGATGCCACAGCTCTGGGCTGCCCCAGCACGGGAGCCAGGGAGGAGGGAAGCCACCCCTGGCTGGCAGGGCTCAGGCTGGCTGTCCGGGGGCTGCCCTTTGGTCCCTGAGAACCAGTCACCCCCTGGGGGGCTCTGCATGTGACCCATGATGGGGGTGGGGGCTCTCTGGACTCAGCATTCTGAGGCCTGTTCCCTCCTCAGCTCCTCATTCCTTCTTTGAACGCCCATCTTCTTTCCTCCAAACCTCATTCCTTTCTTAAGCTCAGTGGAAGGTCAGATGGGTCCTCCTTCCCACCCCGCCAACCCAGAATGTCTCTTCTTGTCCTGGCAGCTGGCTGATGCCCTCTAACACAGGTTGCGGCCCTTGGGGTGCCGCCCACCCTCTGTACTTGCAGCCCCACAGCGGCCCAGACTCCTGCAGCACCCCTCACTCCCCTCTTTCCAGGCCTGGGGAACCTGCAGCCCTGGATGCAGGGCCTCATCGCTATGGCCGTGTTCCTGGTCCTCGTTGCAATCGCCTTTGCTGTCAACCACTTCTGGTGCCAAGAAGAGCCGTGAGTGCCTCCTGGGGCTCTGGGGGCTGAGCCGCTGCAGGTCGGGTGACCCCAGGGCCAGGGCTATGGCTCCAGCAGCAGCAACCTCTCACTGTGTGGAAGGGACACCAAGGCCCGACGTCTTGGGCTAGAGCGCCAGCTTACTGGCTCCCAGAGCCACCTCTGATGGCCCCTCAGCTCTGGTGCTCACCCACTGTGTCCTCTTCTTGGGGTCTCAGTGTTTCTAGCTGCATAGTTGGGACAGCCACCTGGCCTAGGGTGGGGATTGTGAAAGCCTCTGGGGAGGAAGGTTCCGTCTTTCCTCGGGTCAGCTGCTGGGCCACAGGGGGGGGGGGGGAGAGGGCAGTGGGACAGACAGCCCTGCGCTCACAGGCTCCCCGACCAGGAGGGAAGGCGGACAGGAAGGCAGCCAGCGCAGGCGAAGGTGCTGGTGCTAGGGGAGTGCAGAGTGCTATCGGCTAGCCGGGACTGGGGCGGGGCAGAAGGCCCCCCACCGCACCTTTATCCCACAGCCTGAAGGATGAGGAGGAGCAGTCCCAGGAGAGGGTGGCACAGGATGGAGACTGGAATCAGTGAAGAGTGCCTCTGGGGTCCTGAGTGAGAAGCAGGGCACTGAGGTAGAGGGTGGGCTGAAACCTGGCCCACTCCGCACTCGACAACCCGGGGTAAGGCTGCAGCTGCCCCCAGCGCTCCCACTCCCACTCGGGGCCTGCTGCCTCCCTGCAGTCGCAGGTCGTGGCTGGAGGAGGGATGGAGAGAGGGATGGAAAGGCCCAAGAGGAGCTGGGGAGGAAGGCAGGGCCAATCCCCAGGTCTGGATGAGGTGCGCCTGCGGGAGCACTGGCTGCCCAGCCTGCAGGCGAGGAGAGCGATGCAGAGGCTGAGCCTTCGGTCGGGAGAGAGTCTGGATGGCAGAGGGGACAAGGGGATGCAGAGAGGAGACAGGTGTAGGCTGCCTAGGAGTCGGACCTCCTGGGAGTTGAGGGAGGGAGACAGCAGAAGGCAAGAGGAAGGAAGGACAGGGAAACATCCAGGCTTCTGACAGGACCACTCCCTGAGACATGGAACACAAAAGCAGATCTGGGGCAACCACTGAGTTTAATTGGGGGCACATTAAGTCTGAGGAGCCTGTGGGATGCTCCAGGAAAGATGAGCAGCGGTAAGGCTCCCTGTGACCCTCGTGAAAGCAGTTTCCAGGGAGGTGGGGACAGAGGACACACTCAGTGGATTTAGTCTTAAATAAGGGGCCAGGAGCTGTTCCCTGGAGGTGCTTCCTTTCCCCACGGACTCCAGCTGTCTCCAGTGGCCGGTGACCATGGCTGCTCCTCCGCCCAGGAAAGCCCTGTGAAAATCGGAGGCAGAACCAGAGCCCACGCCAGGGCCTTACTGGACTTGGGGAGTAGGGGGACAGGAGGGGAAGGGATCCAGAGGGCCCTCCTGATGAGCCCTGTCCCCAGGGAACCCGTGAACGTGGCCGTGACCGTTGGAAACAAGGAAGACGGGATCCTGGCAGGAACGGAAGGAAAGTACTCCTCCATGGCCAGCTTCAGGTGAGCGGACCTCAGAGCCAAGGGCTTCTGCCGAGGGACAGAGGGAGGGGAAGGGCAGGCTCTTGTGAGGAAGGGCTCAGTGGAGAGAGAGGGGGAACTGGCGAGCAGTGGGGCTCCCTGGGAAAATGAAGTAGTTTGGGGAGAAGGCCCAGGAGGAGGACGGGGCCTGGGTGGGGAAAGGGGCCCAGTGGTTGGGTTGGCACTCAGGGAGGAATGCAGCTGTGAAAAGGGGCTCAGCGAGGGAAAGGGACTCTAAAGGGATGAGTGGGGGGACTCGGTGTAGGAAGAGAGCTCAGTGGGGAGATGGCCTCAATGGGGGCGCTCAGCGGTGCCTGTGTGGAGGGGCTCAGTGGAGGAGGAAGGTGGGGTTCAGGGAAGTGGTGATGAGAGACCTCCAGTCTCAGGTGCACAAGGCCAGATGTGGTCAGAGGAACCCCTTCTGGGAAGCAGATGTTTACTCTGAAAGATACTGTTCTCACAAGTGCGGGATGGGGCAGGGAGAAGGGCATCGGATAGAAGGTGTATTGACCCCTGCCATCCTCTTTCAGGTCCAGTGAGCATGAGAATGCCTATGAGAATGTCCCCGAGGAGGAGGGCAGGGTCCGGAGTACCCCCATGTGACCCCGCTTTCCCGTGGCCCCCAGCGCTGATCCTGGGCTTCTGTAATCAGTGCCACTCTTCTGAGCGGGAATCTACATTGAGGGGCCGATTTTTTCAACCTCACACTGCACCACCCTCCCTTGAATTGTCCCAGCCAATGTCGGAACTCAGACTGTGTCTACCTGGGGCTCAGCTGGGGCTCGGCTGGGGCTCTGGGTCTTCTGGGAGGGTGTCTCCCACTCAATTCAAATCAGAAGACCCTTCTGAAGGAGATAGCTCGGCACCTCCCATCCTGCCTCACATTCCCTCCCCTCACTGTGGACATGGCCTTATTTCTGTGAATAAAGATGTTTTATACCTCTGAGGCTGAGGTTCCCAGGGCTCAGAAATAGCCACCCAGGCTCCCAGACAGCCCAAACCTTGCTGTCTGCATCGTGACAATCGCCTTCCAAAGCTGCTCTCATGGTGGCTGTGGAGGGTTACCTGGGAAGCCGTCCCTGGGAGGCCCCAGGGGCCAGGGCACTCACCCACTTCACCCTTATTCCAGCAGTACCACCCTCCGCTCTGCCTCCATGCTGCCTGATTAGGGGGTCCATTTACCTCGCACCCACTCAGCTCTGCCCCACTCCACACCGCCTCCGGGTGGGCTTGGGCAAGGAAGAACCAGGAAAGCGTCTTGGGCTAGGACTTAGGAGCCCAGATTTGAGTCCCCATTCCTCCACCAACTTTCTGTGTGACTTTGGGAAAAGTCACTGTCCTCTGAACTCAGCTTCCCCTCTGTGGCGGGTTTGGCCAGTCTCACCACAGAACCAGAGCAGAAACATCCTCATTGATGCCACCGATTCTGTCCTGGGTGGGGGTGAAGTCTGGGTCCCAGGGGGGATGAAGCAGGAAGGAGAGTGAGGAGGCATGACTCCAACTTTGGCTGACCCTGGAGGTCCCTCACCTCTGTGACTGTCATTCTTATGGGAACAGCCTCTGTCTCTCTGTCTGGAGTGACAACCTGAGCCAGACTCACCTGGGAGTACTCCTTGTCCCCAAGGAGTGGGGCAGTCCACCTTTTCCCCAAGATCTCCCTCTGCCACCTGTCCCAACCTATCACAGCCCCCTCACTTCACCATGACAGCCATTCCTCTGCTCTTCTAAGGCTTCACCGACACACCCCCAGGGAGATCCATCTGACATCAGAATGCTCCTTCTCTCCTCATAGGTCTAGTCTGCAGCCTGCAGCGGCGGGAAGAGCCTTGAGCAGAGGGATGGCAGGGTCTGTGCCCCAGGTCCACCCTTTCTCTGCTGTGTGAACTTGGGCAAGTCCGCTCCTCTCTGAGCTTCAGTTCAGCGCATTGAGGTTGCAGTCCTTGTGATCCCCACTCTAGGTTTTTGCTCACGTGGTGATTGAGATGACTTTCGAGACTGCTTCACTCACGCTCGGAGTACCATGAGCAGAGATGCTGCTTGCTGTGCTTCGGGAAGGCATCCCATGGGCTGATGCCTGCTCACCCACCTCTGCCAGTTTAAACTCTGCATATTCCTTTTTTCTTGGCCCAGCCAAAGTTCCTCTTCCTCTGGGAAGTCTTTCTTGATTAGACCAGAGGGAAGAGCTAGGGGACCAACCAGCCCAGCCTCTCACTTACAGAAGGAGAGGTGCAGGGTCCTAGAGGCCACAAATACCCCTTCTTCCTCTTCAGCCTCCTGGTCTGGACCTTTTGGCTGCCCGGATCTGATTCTCCTTGCATGAAGCCACACTTCCTCCCACTTCTGCCCCTTAAGGTGTCCCGAAGGGGTGGGGTGGGGCGGGTTTGAGTCTGGCCCCTACTGGCTCGGGACCAAAGGCAGAGCCACTCCCCCGTCTCCCTGCAGCAAGTGAAGCCAGCCCCTCTCACCTGTTAGGCTTTACCAGGTGGGATGGGTGAGCAGGGACCCGCCATGGTTCCTGGGGCTGGTCCCCAGCACTCAGCCTGGGACTCCTGAGCTCCTTCACCGTGCTGGCAGGACCAGGGTGGCGGGAACTCTGGGGGTCCTTGCAGGTGTCAGGCTGGTACTGACCTCCCCCATCCCCAGCCCCTTGTTCCAGCCCTGACGGGGGCAGGGGGCGTGGGGCTGGCGGGCCCCAGAACCGCAGGAGCCCCTAATCCTTATCACTAGTTCCCACCTGCCCGACTGGCCAGATGAGGGAGGGAAAGGAGGCTGGGCCGGGGCCAGGGCGGCGCTTAATGACCCTCCGGGGGCCTAATCTCAGACAGGCAGCCGCTGAGTGGCCCGGGCTTGCTCCTGGAGGAGGCTGATAACGCACCAGCTGGGCCCCCCAGCATCTATCGGGGCAGCACAGCCCGTCCCGAGGGGGCGGCGCTCGCGGGTCCGGGAGGGGAGCCTCTGGGCTGGGGCGGGCCGGGAGGTGCGCTCTCCGCCCCCGGCCCTGCGGGGAGGGGATTCTGAGCCCCTGGAGTGACAGGCGAGGGGCGGCCCGGCGGCCGTGCGAGCGGTGGGACTGGCGTGCGTGCGGGGAAACCCCAAATGGCCGGCGCTCCTCCCGCCTTCCCGCTCCTCCTGACCCCGACCCGACCGTGTCTCTTCTCAGGCGCTCCCAGCCGTTATCCATCTCCGATCTCAGTCGCTCTGTTTCTGTCTCTTTCTGAGAGCGTCCCGTGGCCTTTGTTTTTTTTATCTCCATCCCCCTGTCTCTGTCCCGGCTCCCCCTGCAACCTCCACCTGAGCTCAGTGCTCACCGTGCCCCCTTGCATCCTTTCTCTATTTGCAGCTGGTTCCCAGGTGCCCCCACCCCCACCCCCACCCTGCCTCTCCGCTCCTGCCCAAGCCGCCCCGGTGTGGCCGGTGGCAGGGAAAGTCCTCTGCCCTCACTGGAGTCTCGCGGTTTTGTGCCGCATCATCCCCCCATCCCTCCGCCTGCTGTCTGGGCAGAACGCTCAGGTGGCTCAGGCCCTGGCTCTAGGACCTGAAGATTCTCGCACTGCTATAGCACATTCTTGCTCCCCTACTTCCTGGAATAGGACTTGCACCTCTCTTTTTCCTCCCCTTTCTAAAACGTGTGAATTTCACTGGGTGACAGTAAATGACGCCCGCCCGCGTTCAGGCACTGAAGGCTCCACCCAGGAACTGCAGATTTGAAGGTAGATTGCAGCACAGATTTGGAGAGGGACTTCCAGCCTGGAGCTCTGTCTTCAGTGTCACGTGCTGTGGACAGGCCAGGGTGCCAGGTGATCCAGATGATTTTCAAGATCACCTCCCTCGTGCTCAGGTTATCGTGAACGGAAATGTTGCTTGCTTATTGTGCTTCAAGGAGCCATCAGATCCGGACTACTGCTGGGCAGTGTTGTCCAGCCCAGCATAGCTGTGAGGTGTGGGGTGCAGAGTGTCACTGGGAGGGGATGTAACCCAAGTCACACACATTCTGCCCTGTCCCCTTGGACCAACCTCACAGGTAAATCAGATGGCTGGAACTGTCAGACTTGCTCTGGACCAGGGCAGGAAGCACCTGCCCCCCCCCCATCTGACCTGGGGCCTGGACAACCCCCTCATCTCCTCCCAGTTTTCAATCCCCGGAAGTACACACAGTGGCCAAGAGTATGAGCTTGAGAATCTTGTGGTCTTCTGTTCGAAGTCCAGCCATGTTACTCACTGCTTGTGGGAGTCTTTAGACATTTTGTTCACTTGCCAGACAAATTGGTTCTATCACGTCTCCCCTGCAGGGCTGCGGAGAGAGGAAAGAGGTACTGTATGTTATTGTCACACAGAGATTTGCCAGAAGATCCTCTAGGCTCTGCTTAGATGTCACTTCCTGTGGGAAGCTCCTCCCCCACCCAGGTTAGATGCTTCCTCTGGGCTACCCCAGCCTTCCCTGCACTCACCCCAACTTGTTGTCTGTTTACTTGTCTGTGTCCAGCTCCAGCCCAGGCCTGATTGCTCCTCAAGGGCAAGGATGGGCTCACTTCCCTCTCTGTGTCACTAGCACCCAGGACAGGGTTGGACTCAAGGGAAGGGAAACCTTGGTGAAGAAACTCAAAGGAAGGGACTAAACCTCAGCTGTCTGTCCAGCTGTAAGTCTGTTCATAGCCCTCAACCCCACACAGATGCGTACACACATGGGCACACCCACACGCGTGCACTCACTTTCTCTCTGGTTGAAGGTTGTGGGATCCCTGACAAACCCTCCTGAACATCACTGCTCCGTCTGGTCTTCAATTTGTTTTTTGTTTGTTTGTTTGTTTGTTTTGTTTGTTTTGTTTGGGGAAGGTGCTGTCTGCCTGTAACCTTGGCTGCCATCTGGTCACTGCACACTCAACACGAAGAGCAGAGTCGGCAGAGCCTTCGAACCTGAGCTTCAGGTGGAGCCCTTCTCCCTTGAACACTGGGACCAGAGATCTTCCCATAGCTTGTCCCTAGGGACCACTAAGGTTGTGTCAGCTCCTAGCTCAGTCTTCCCACGGGCTTCAGGGGCACCTAGGCCTCCAGTGCGCCCTCCTCCTGGCCCTTTCTCTCAGAAATTGTCTGGGAGCCCAGTGGCTTCTGCCATGGGGTATTATTTCAGAGGATAAAGGATTGATCACATTTCTGGGACCATGTTTGCTGCAGACCTCACCCCCCCTAGAGAAGCAGGAGAGAGAGAGAGAGAGAGAGAGAGAGAGAGAGAGAGAGAGAGAGAGAGAGTTATGTCAAGGAGGATGAGTCCCATATTGTCCTGAGCAAAGTGGGAGATGGTGGAGCCAGAGACACTGCACTGGTTTTGCAGACTGTGCCTCCACTAAGCAGGCCCTGCAAGCTGGCTCAGGCCTATGTCAACTTGCAGGGAGGGGTGTTTTTTCTGATTCTCACAAAAGCCCAATATAGGCTAGTGAATGGCAGGAGCCAGAAGACAAGCAGGAGTGTGTGGGGGTGGGTGTGACAGTGCATTTATGGCCATGTGGCACGTAGGAGCTTGTGGGACATCTACAGGAGATGGAGGACAGTTGGTTCACAGCTCAGGTCTGAAGCTTAGTTGAGCAGTTATTAATTGAGCCAGAGATTTTGCCCTCAAGTAGGAGGTTTAGAACCCAGGTCTGGGTCAGGCAGCCCAGATACAGCTCCGCCCTGACACAGTATTTGTGACCTTGGATAAATCAACTCCATTTCCAGAGCTCCAGTTTACTCATCTGTAAATTGGGGGCAGTGAATGGTGGCTATCTAATAAGAGATGTTGTGACAATTAAAAGAAACAGTGCACATAAAATACATAAAATAGACCCTGGCTGGGTGGCTAAGTTGGTTGGAGCATCGTCCTGTACACCCAAAGGTTGTAGGTTTGATTCCCTGTCTGGGCACATACCTAGGTTTCAAATTCAGTCCCCTGTTGGGGTTTGTACAGGAGGCAACTATTTGATGTTTCTCTCTCACATTGATGTTTCTTTCTCACATCAACGTTTCTCTCACCTTCCCCACGCTTCTCTCTCTCTAAAAAAAGAAAACATGTCACTGGTGAGGATTTAAAAAATACATAGAATATTGCCTAGCACAGTTAGTGCATAATAAATATTAGCTATTACTTTTGTTTTTGTTGTTAATCCTCATCCGAGAATATTTTTCCATTGATTTTTAGATAGAGTGGAAGGGAAAAAGAAGAGAGAGACAGAAAAACATCAATGTGAGAGACACATTGATGGTTGCATTCTGCATGACCCCAGCTGGGCTGGGAATCAAACCCACGACCCTTTGGTCCGTGGGCCGACACTCTTCATGGCTTAGCTATTGCTTTTTATTTCTATTATTATTACAGGATGAACTGAATTAGATGCAAGACCACAGTATGTAAGAGCTAGCAAAATCCTTAAGCCCATCCCATTTTGCTCTGCAGAATCTGAAGCCAAGGAGGGGATGGCACCTGCCCAAGTCACGTAACAAGTCCGGGTGAGAGGTAGGCTAGAGGTCTGCATGGCTGGTGGGTACAGAAGAGGCCGGGCCCAGCTGCTCCCCTGGACCTCGGAGACACCACCACAACGGGGCTGGTTGCACAGGTTTGTTCTGCATTGCTGAGGCCGGTACGGTTCTGTACGTGGACTTTGCAAATGAATAACTTGACCCTTGACCGTTAACCAGTTCTAGCTGTAAGCTTGGGGGTGTGGGATGAGGGTGGTGAGGACTGGTGCTGACAAAGTGGGGATAGAGTCAAGGAGGGGAGGGAGCTTCAGTGGCAGAGGAAAAGGGAGAGGGGGGGGGGAGAAACTGATGAAAACATCTTCCACACTCCAAGAGCTAATGAGCGGAAACAAGAGACTGGGAAGGGACTTCCTCCACACCCAAGCACGGTGGTGGTCTACAGGACAGCTGAAGGCTGCCATAGGGCTTGTAGGACGCTTTCTGACTGAAGCTGCAACTGAAGCTGCATTGTGATCCTATCAGGTTGTATAACTGGACCCATTGTCTTGAGGAGAGAGAGGGAGGTGACTTGCTCGGCTCAAAGTCACACAGCCAGTTAGTGGCGTTGGCCCCGGTCTTTTGACTTTATTTATTTATTATTATTATTATTATTTTTTATCCTCACCCGAGGACATTTTTTTTCCATTTTTTTGTTCAGCTAGAGTGGGAGGGAGAGAGAGGAAGAGAGAGAGAAACATCGACGTGAAAGGGACACATCGAGTGGCTGCCACCCACAAGACCAACCAGGGCCAGGGACAAACTGCAACCGAGGTACATGCCCTTAGCGGGAACCGAACCCGGGTCTCTCTGGACCGCAGGCTGACGCTCTAACCGCTGAGCCAAACCGGTCTTTTGACTTTAAATCCATGGCTAATTCTACTCCAGCACCGGGTTCTTTGCAGGGTATGTGTGTGTGAGAGAGAAATGGGGAGCTGAAGACGAAAACAGAATGCTTGCCGATGCCGCTCTCCCAGCCCTCTCGGACAGCTGCACCCCGGCAGGCGGAGAGAAGTCCCTTCAAGTGTCTAAGGGAGGTGGTTGCCATTTGCTGTTTCTGCCGCCGTCCTTCCCACTTACTCCTCCATGTCTTTCATGCCGGACACTCTGCAGACTGCTCTCACCATGGGCACTATAGTCCCGTCGTCTTGTTACAAGATACAACGGCTTATTTGATCCTCTACTTTCAACATAATAGGCTAGGAGCCATTCTTTCCGAGGAGCTGTTCCCGACCACCTGCGCCCAGCTCACCAGGCTCCCACGTTGGTCACGGCCTTGCTCTCGGAACAACACTGTGAACTCTGAATTCCGCGGGACACAGACCCCATCTGTCCTGTTTATCATAGTGTCTGTGTGTTCAGCGCAAGCTGGAAATACAGGTGTGCCCTAGTAAATACTTGTTCAAAGAATGATATGGGGACTTCATCCACTCCGTTATTTACATTACTTCCTTTGAAGCATTGGCTTCCAAATCAGCACCTTCAGCCCCTTCCCTCCAGTACCCAGTTGCCTCCTGCTCAACTCCTCAGACACCGCAGGCCCAAAATGGGATTCCCGGTCCTTGACCAAACTAGTCCTTGTCCCTGTTAGTGGCATCACCACGCATCCACCCAGACCAGGCATGGGTTCACGCTGAATGCCCCTCCTTCACCCCTGTCCCTGCTCCCCTGCTCCCCTGCTTCCAGCCTCCATCTTGCCTGGGGATGTTTTGTTTTCACTCTTGCTGCACACTCAGACCACCATCCACACTGCCGCTGGCGAGACCTTTCCAAGCACAGAGCCAGCCAGGACCCAGCCCTGCACGCCTGCGACACCAACCGCACTCTAAGCAAGTGCAGCTCAGTGGCTGTGGACATGCGCTGGAAGCCAGACTTTCCTGGGCAAATTCTGCCCTACCACCACTGAGTGCCAAGGAAGAAATGATGGCTATCATGTAGTTTGTGGTGAAGTCAGTGAGTTAAAATGTGTATAGAAAGCGTATAGTAAATGTTCAGTGAGTGTTAGCAATAGCCATCATTTCCTTTCAGCTTTGCCAGCAGTATCTGGAATAGTCACTAGATGGCCACACTGGAGGCTCTCTTGGACTCCACCTACTCCAATCTCTCCTTCCTCCCCTTCCAGGCTGTTTACCTCTCAGTGTTGTTCATGTTGAGGGCTCATGGTCTTTCCTTCTGCGCCTCACCTCCTTCAGCATGGTTCTCTGGCACTTCTTTTTCTGTTATACTCACTGGGTGGGCTATGCTCCATGTTTGTGAACTCCTGGAGGGCAGAACATCCCCAGGGTATCTGGCATAGTCCCTCCGTAGAACTAATGCTTGGGTGTGTGTGTGTGTGTGTGTGTGTGTGTGTGTGTGTGTGTACAGTGATACCTCGGTTCTCGAACATAATTCGTTCCAGGAGGACGGTCGAGAACCAAATTGTTCGAGAACCGAAGCAATGAAACCCAATAGGAAATAATGGAAACTGGATTAATTCGTTCCAAGCCCCAGAAAATGCCTATTTACTGGCCTAATTTGTATATAATATGTAGAAAAACATAAGTCTCAACAAGAAATAAAAGTGTACAGTATGTCTAAGGGTTAAATTCAGTGTAAAGCGTGACTCTCTCCACAAAGCGTGACTCTCTCTCTGCACTCACACTGATGGCGCAAGCAAGGCGCGCTGGGCCGAATGAACGCCATTCGGCTCAACTCGGCTCATCTCGGAAGTTCGAGTTCCAAATATTTGTTCGGATTCCAAGACAAAAGTTTCTCGAATCTCCTGGTCGAATACCGATTTGGTCGAAATCCGAGGCGTTCGAGAACCAAGGTATCACTGTATTTTTAAAGTTTTTTTTTTTTTCTTTTATTGATTTGAGAGAGAGAGAGAGAGAGAAGGGAGAAGGAGAGATAGAAACATCAATGAGAGAAAACATCTATTGGTTGCCCCCTGCAGGCCCACACTGGGATTGGGCCCACAACCTGGACATGTGTCCTGACCAGGAATCAAACCAGCGACCTCCTGGTGCGTGGGTTGACGCTCAACTGCTGAGCCACACTGGCCAGACTGCTTGGTGTTTTTGAATGAATGAATACATGTCAACCAGTCCCAGTTCAGCCACTTAGATCAGCTGTGCGACCTTGGGCAAACCACTTCACCTCTCTGGGTCTCAGTTTTCTTTTCCTTAAATGCACATTTATAAAAAAGAATCTATTTCATATTTTTGGTGAGAGACCAGTGTAAAGACCTGGCATCCTGTAGACGCAGGGCCACCGTGCACAGCCACCTGCCTGCCAGCCACGGCTCATTACAGTTGCCCACCAGCTATTGTCTACCTTAGGCTCACTCCTGTCACCTGGCCCAGTTGAGGGTATTAAAAATATTTACACCTCTTTCCAAAAGTCCTTCTTTACCAAGAGAGTCTGGAATTCATCTGTAAGCTGGCCGGCTGGGCTGGGTGGTTGACAGATCAGCTGAGTCCAATGGGCTCTCACTTTCCTGGAAAGTACAGCCTCAGCCTATTGTCCCCAAACCCCACCATCCTCCTGAATGACTGCGCTCCTGATCTTCCTTTTCTCCGTCCACCCCAGTTCCTGATGTCCCAGTTCCTGATGTCCTGATGTCCTGGGGCCAGGCTGAAGGGGCTGCTTCCTGGACATTCTCCAAGGACTTCGTACTCTGACGCTGCCTCTATCTGGATGGCCCCAGTTACTGTGTCCTTTCCATTAAGTCTCTGAAGTAACGACTCTTCCTTAGGACACTGCCGGGAGTAGAATGCCTCCATCAAAGAGCATGAGCATTTTTGTGGCTCTTGTAATGTACATGCTCACAGTTGGTTCCCCTAAGCGTTGAATATTTTTATATTTACTCCATTACACCACAGGGTAAACAGTGAAGGGGGCAGTGGATTCCAGTTTTCTCTAAAGCCAAACACTTTCAAAGTATTTTACAAAGTATAGCGTTATCTTTTTTGCCAAACATTGGTTTCTATTTTTTCTTTTTCCTCTCTATTACTTGCAATATCTTGAACAGCCACCAGATGGCAGAGCTTACACCGTCCTGGGAAGATAGATGTTGGACCAGCAACCTGCCTTTTCTGGTGCAGAGAGGAGAGTCTGTCCAGGCTGGGCGTCTGAGTGGAGTGGCTGTTGGTGGGATCCCTGAGGAGATGTGGTGGTGGCCCTAGTAGAGAGAGCCCTGGCTGGAAGTTAATTGTTTGGGATTCTAGAACTGACCCTGCCCTGCATCAAGTTTAGCTTCCATTTATTTCTTGAGGACTTCCTGTGTGTTACATATTGTCCAACCACCACAGAGGAAGCATCCATCGCCAGGCTTTGTGTCTTAAGCAACTGGTTGTTTTATAGAAGTCTCAGGCAATGCAAAGCCCAAGAAAAACCTGTGTGCTCATGGGCCACCTGGCAACATTTATTTAAACGGAACTTCTGATGGTTAAATTTGTAAAGCATTTCATTGTGATGCAGGCAAGTGTGTTGACCAAAGTGGATGAGTTTGGTCTCGTTAAACTTTGCTTCCAAGAGGGATCTGGAGATATTGGAAGAGAAAAAGTGGAACAGCATGCTCATGGGTGAAATAGGTCATGGTGGATGAGTTCACTACCTGTCTTTTAGTCACTGACCTGTCTACCTGGGCACTGCCTTGGTGCCTGAAAACACACTTCATAGTGGTGTCCAGGGTCATCAGGAAAGGTGTTCAAAGAATTTTAGACATGGGTCCTGGGTAATTCATCACTTCCATTTGTTTTGGAAAGAGAAATGAAAAGCACATTCTACATATGATCATTTCTATTGGCTCTTCCTTACATGTCTCGGAGCCTCAAATCTTTAGAGCTCTTTGAAAAATTCTGTAGTAGATGGTACAAAGTAAATGTAAATTATAATTACAACTACTATAAAGCAAAGCAACCTGCAAGCAACTGAAAGGAAATTGCTTACCTACTTCCTCTCAATTGCCCATGAAGCTCTGCCAGTATTCTGTGTGGCTTCCAGAAGACAACCCAACTTTCTTCAACTAAAGATAACACAAATCAGAGCCTCTACCATTCATTAACTGTACTCCATGTATAGCACTTAATAAAAACCTGACCAGAATACCAAGAAACAGTCTAATTGACCAAAAAGCAAAATAAAACAAGAAAAAGACAATCTATGATTAATGTGTTTTTTAAATTTTTCATTCACATTATTATTATTATTATCATTATTATTTTTGGTATGTGCCCCTAGTGGGAACGGAACCAGGGACTCTCTGGTCCGCAGGCCAATGCTCCAACCGCTGAGCCAAACCGGCCAGGTCAACTTAATTTTTTAAATTAATTTATTTCTCTTTGTTACAGATGTTTCTCCTCCCCTCCCCCACTGGTTCCCCCCTCCCTCTCCCTTCCCACCCTGTCCCCACCTTTGTTGTCCATGCCCATTGTTCATGCATACATGCATATAAGTTCTGTGGTTTATCTCTCCCCCACCGCCTCCTCTTCTGGGGATTGTCAGTCTGTACCCCACTTCCACATCTCTGGGACTACCCCATTCCTCAGACTGTTATATTCATTATATTCCACAAATAAGTGAGATCATATGATACTTGTCTTTCTCTGTTTGGCTTGTTTCACTTAGGATAATACTTTCCAGGTCCCTCAATGTCATCTCAAAGGAGAAGAGATCTTTCTTTCTTACAGCTGCATAGTACTCCATTGTGTATATGTACCACAGCTTTTTGATCCATTCGTCTACTGATGGACATTTGGGCTGTTTCCAGATCTTAGCTATTGTAAATAGTTCTGCTATGAACATGGGGGTACATATATCCTTTCTGATTGGTGTCTGAGGCTTCTTAGGGTATATTCCTAGAAGTGGGATCACTGGGCTAAATGGCAGTTCAATTTTTAAATTTTTGAGGTAACACTATATTGTTTTCCATAGTGGCTGCACCAGTCTGCATTCCTACCAGCAGTGTACTAGAGTCCTCTTTGTACCACACCCTCGCCAACACTTGTTGTTTGATGATTTGTTGATGACGGCCATTCTGACAGGTGTGAGGTGATACCTCATTGTTGTTTTAATTCACATCTCTCTGTTGATTAGTGATGTTGAGCATTTCTTCATATGTCTCTTAGCCATTTGTATGTCCTGTTTGGAGAGGTGTCTATTTAGATCCTCTGCCCATTTTTTAAATGGTTTCTTTGTCTTCCTTTTGTTGAGTTGTATGAGTATTCTATATATTTTGGAAATTAACCCCTTATCTGATGTATCATTGGCAATTATGCTCACCCATACAGTGGGTTGCCTTTCCATTTTGATGATTGTATATTTTGCTGTGCAGAAGCTTTTGAGTTTGATGTAGTCCCATGTGTTCATTTTCTCCTTTGTTTCTGTTGCCTTAGGTGAT